AGAGGGGCTGTTAGTCTGAAAAATATCTCCGATTACTATTTCTATATTTTTCTTACTTAGGAGGCTAAGATCTAGGAACTTCCTATCGACGAGGTTCTATATTAGGAAGGCGAAAATCCTAAAATAGAATATATTATAAAAAAGCTGTAATATATAATAGAATTTAATCTTTTATAATTTAATATTCCTAACTCTACTAAATCCGTAAGTATCCTATTTAATAAAATACTAGAAATACCGAAAAATCAAATTAATAAAATTAAATTTAATATAAAAAAATATTAGTATAGATACTATCTACTTTTTCTAATTATATACGGCCTACGCCTCTAATTAAGCGAAAATAATCTTACGGATATATAATATTATCTTCTAATCGCTATAAACAAAAAAAAGCCTATTACCGAACTATTCCTAGTTTATACTTAATAGGCTGAAGAATAATTTATTATAGAGATAGTAAACGCTAACTAATTTACTTTTATTCTTATTAATAATAAAGGTTTAGAGAATAAAGCTTTAGAATATTCGATAGCGCTTAATTTTAAGGAAGGTATACGTAGGGAGATCGTTTTATTTGTTAATAACCGGAAATAAAAATCGCAATCTCTTTATAATAAGTAAATTAGCAGTAGGATAGAACGTACGTAGTGTCGGGGCGAGGGAAGGAATAATTTAGGATTTCTAAAATAAAATAGTAAATTAGAATTAAAATAATTGGAATAATCCGGAGATATTAGGACTATTTCTTAGTAAATAAATCGTAAGGTTGCGTATTGTATCCTTTCAACTAATATTAAGGCTTTAGACAGTATCGAAATAATTATAATTATTATAAATAATAATAAAATTAGGGTTGGATATAATATGTTTAAAACTTTACTAATATCGTTAATTTAATTATAAAATATCTACGGACCGAACTAACCGTTACAATAATTGTAAGCATTTTAATAATAGTAATTATCCTATTATATAAAATATATATACCCAATTTGGCTAATATATCTTGGATACGCTTTATAATACTATTAGTATATATATAAAGACCTATAACCTAAAGAAAGAAATCCGACTTACAGGGAGTACGAATATTTATAAAAATAATAAAAATTATATAAATATAAAGTAAAGTAAATTCATTATAATAAGCGTAGCGTTTATACTTTAATTATTAGGTATATTAATAAAATATTAATACCTTAAGGAGTAAATATAATAGAGGGGCGTATTTCCAAAACTATATTATACCCTATTATATAATATTTAAAATCTACTAGGTACTATACAAATCTTCGATATTATAGGGTATATCGCTTACCCTAATTATAAAGGAAGTGTTAAATTTGGCGAATAATAAAAATAAATTAAAATTAACGGACTCTCTATTATTAGCGATTTTAAATTTAAAATTATATAATTCGGAGTCTTCGTTTTAAAAATTATTGGGCTTAATAGGTTAGGACTATTTGGTACTAAGTTTTTTATTATTTTTACTCTTTTTAGGTTTATATTATAATAAAAATATTAATTCCTCCCTAAATATTTAATTAAAAGACTCTAAATCGAGTAAATTAGTTTTATTTTTAAATTATATAATAATATTTTAGCGAAGGAGAACCTCGCGTATATTTTTATTGCGTAAAAATATAATAAATTCCTTTATATAGGCTCCAAATAATTAATTATCGCTTCGAATTACCTTAACCCAATTACGAATAAACTATTTTTAGTTTCCCCTCTTAGGCCAAAGGCTATACTAATACTATTTAGTACTATAAATTAGTAATTAATTAGGATTGTACAATTATACTAGTACTTTAAGAATAATTAATAAAATATAGGGAATAAGAGTAGGAATTGGGTTTAAAGTATTATAATTCGAAATAGGCGTAAAATAGTTAGGAATAAGAATAATTAGGAATATACTTAGTTCGGACGTAAGGTCAGGCAAATAAGGTATGAATATAAATTAGTTATTATATAAAAGCGGAAGGGGTATTTCGTAAAACGAATATTCTATCGAATTTAACAAATCAATTAGATTAAATATTATACCCTACTATACTTTACTCTAATCGGAATCGTTTATTCGGCGAATAGTTAGTTGTAATGGGGGGGGGGGGTTGATTTATTCTAATTGGAGTAGATATTTTACTTTAACTAAAGTAAAATCCTACTAAAAGTGTTTGTTACTCTATAGCCGACGGCCAAAAAACGCAAAACCCGCTCAGACCTACTACCGCAGAAACGGGTAGGGTAGGGTGGTTTTGGAGGTGTAGGTCTAACTAAGACTAACACAATCTGCACCCTCTACTGAATCAATACCCCTGCTCGTGCCCGTATTCTACAGCTTCCCGAGGATTGGTCAGAAGCTGGGCAAATGCAATGCTGCTCAAACCCCCCAGAAACCCCCACGCCTAAAGCAGGGTCAACCCCTGCTGGACGTTACACTCGCCTGTCCGTAGAAATCTGCGGGGGCAGCCAATCATCATCCGTGGTCACTCGATCCCGAATATGACAAGCCGTCAGCCTTGCGGAGAAGGCCCAAATTTTACAGTAGTGCAGTTGCCCTGTAAACAAAAGTAAACTCTTTGAAGAACGGACAGAGGCGTTGCTGCTCAGGAAAGTACACAACCTGCCACCACCGTGGCTCCGTTCTCGATACTCGCTAGGAGGTCTCTCCTCCACCTTCGTCTACCGTTCAGGTCCTTTGTCACGATGGCTTCCCATTCTGCGACAACAGCTTCTTCGCTCACCTCTGCGGCTGCCAACCTGGGCGCAACCGAGGCCAAGGCGACCACGACACCCCGAACGCCCAAGAGAACGAAGCTTCATGGCAGGGCCTTCTACGAGAGCATCGGTAGTCCAAAGTACATCGTCGCTCCCATGGTGGATCAGTCTGAGTTTGTGAGTTTGCGCCCTTGTGGACAATATGTAGTGGCAACAACGTAAATAAATAAAACAGAACAGCACAACTAACTGATTGCTTTCATGACAGGCCTGGCGCATGCTGACCCGATCGTTTCTCCCCGCCGATGAGCAACATAAGCTCCTTTGTTACACTCCCATGTTCCACGCCCGCCTGTTTACCGAAGCGCCAAAATACCGTGACTCCCATTTCCAACCGATCCGCGGCCCTCTGACAGCCGACAGCCCACGCCCAGACTCGCCCGATTACGTTCCCTTCCTTGACGGCAACCCTGAGTTCGACCGTTCGCTATTCGTCCAATTTTGCGCTAACGATCCCGCCTACCTGCTCTCTGCCGCGAAGCTTGTGGCCCCTTACTGCGATGCCGTAGACCTCAACCTCGGCTGCCCGCAGGGTATCGCCAAGCGCGGCCAATACGGATCCTTTCTGCAAGAGAACCAGGAGCTCATTTTCGAGCTGATCAACACGCTGCATAAGGAACTTGACATCCCGGTGACGGCCAAGATCCGCATTCTCGACACCAAGGAGGCGACCCTCAAATATGCTCAGAACGTGCTGCGCGCCGGCGCCAGCATTCTCACGGTACATGGCCGGCGGCGTGAGCAAAAGGGGCATCAGACGGGGCTCGCCGACTGGGAGTACATCCGCTACCTGCGAGAGAACCTGCCCAAGGAGACGGTCATCTTCGCCAACGGCAACATCTTGCAGCACGCGGACCTGGAGAAGTGCTTAGCGGCCACGGGCGCTGACGGCGTTATGAGCGCCGAGGGCAACCTCAGCGACCCAGGCCTCTTCGCCAGGCCGCCGGCCGTCGGCGAAGAAGGGAGGGAGTACTGGCGTAGCAAGGATGGCAGCCGCGGCGGCTGGCGCGTCGACGCTGTGCTGAGGAGATACCTGGATATCATCTACAAGTACGTGTTGGAGCAGAAGCCGCCAGTGAGGAGACCGCTGTTCATGCCGGGTGATGATGTTGCATGGCTTGAAGAAGCTTCCTCCACCTCCTTCGAAACAACACAAGCCAACGACGACAGTGAAGGACCAGCACGAAAGAAGCACAAGTCCGCCAACGGCAGCGCTTCAACCACCACCACCACCACCACCACCACCACCACCACCACCACCACCACCACCACCACCACCACCACCACCACCACTACCACCGCCGCCTCCTCCTCCTCTCTAAACACCACCAACAACAGCAACAACCCCCACCTAGACAAAAAAGCTCTCCAAACCTCCCCCAACCTCGTCTCCATGCAACCCCACTGCTTCCACCTCCTGCGGCACTTCGTGACCCACCACACCGACGTCCGCGACCTCCTCGCCCGCGCGCGGAACGGTTCTGAAATCGGCAAATACGAAGCCATCCTGTCTCAAGTCGAGCGCAAGGTCGCCCAGGGACTTCTCGAGTACGAGCGCACCGGCGGCTCGTCATTCGACGTCGACGTCCTGGAAACTCTGTACCAGGAAACAGAAGACTCCAAAGATGACCCGGAAAGCTCGGCACAGGCGAGGAGGGAGAACAAGAGGCCTTGGTGGGTCGTCCAGCCAATTATTCGGCCGTTGCCCAAGGAAGCGTTGGCGAAGGGGGCGTTGCAGCTGAGTAAGAAGGAACTGAAAGCGCAGGCGGCAAAGAAGGCTGTTGCTGGTGGTGATGCGGAGGCTACGGTTGCTTCCGTTTTTGGGTCGAAGGAGAAGGAGGTGAAGAAGACGGCGTCTGAAGAGGCGCTGGTTCCTGTTCAGGGACAGAATGGCGGGGAGACAGCGGTGGAGTCGTTGGAGACTACTACGAATTATCCCAAGAGTGAGCTGGTTAGTGGGTGAATCTCTCTTCCTTCACCGGTCTGACCATGCATACATTAACCGGGTGCTCTTGAAGGTGGTTGGGTTTGTATAGAGATGTTGGCATATTGTGATTGGAGCTCTGGTTTATAGATGTTAGAAGTAGCATTGTTAGAGAGTATCATACCCCTTATTTGAGTGCAAATACGGCCTCTTCCGGTCAACGTACCGCTCCAATCACTGTGATGTCATTGCATTATCAGAAAGCACCCATCAGCCCCCGAGTCCAACGGAATAAATCTCGATTTGGTTTTTAATTTTAGTCTTGCCCTGGTACAACGAGACTTGCCTGTCATTCTTTGTCCTTCTTTTCTTTTCACAACCAATGCTTCTGGTATCAATATACATTTCGTAGCCTCTTCTGAATTCCAAGTCAACATCTGTCACCCCCTTCTCTTCCTTCCCGTTAGTCCGTTAATAATGGTAAAAGGGCTTCTAATCAACTCTTCCCCGCTTAGCAACTGGTGACCTGGACCTGTACCTGGACCTCGAACTCGATCTAGATCTTGACCTTGAGCTGCTATACGATCTCCTCCGCTTGTTGTTCCCAACCACCGGGCTTGGCGACCTGCTGACAACTCTCCTAGACCCTGTGGCGGCATCCGCTAGCGGTGGAGGTGACCGGGTTCGCGATCTCGAGTATGAGCGATCCCGCCGTCCTCCACGAGCGGGAGCCGGGCCAGCTCGGCCTGTATCTCTACCCGCCGGCCCGTTGCCTCTAATCGGTATCGGAGACCTTGATCGTGACCGACTGTAGCTCCCTCGGCGAAGACGCTGTTGGGGAGGGGGATGTGGCGAGCGACTTGCCGAGTAGGAACCTTCTCTACGACGCTTGCCGGAAGCGGCGGCGGCTCTGTCATTGTTGCTAACGGGTGCTCGACCACGGGTGGGATAACCACGAGCAGGCGGGGGGGATGGCGAGCGCGAGTATGACCTGCTACGGCTACGGGTTCCCGAGCGACCGCGGCGGATGGGCGGCGCCGCCGGGGAGCGGGTACGAGAGCGCGAGCGCGAGGGTGAGCGGGAATACCGGTCGTAGCTACGCCTACGGCCGCGGGGTGGCGGGCTGGGAGACCGGGACTCCACCGCTCTTCGCCTTGGAGGAGACCGCGAAACGGATTTCGAGACGGAGCGGCTGTAGCTACGGCTACGACTCCTGCTCCGGCTTGGTGTCTGGCTGTAGGATCTGCCTCTGCCACGACGAGGAGGGGTGCGCGAGAGCGAGCGTCCGCGGGTGTCCTTCCGAGGCGTCAGGGAACGAGAGCGAGAACGGGATGAGTAAGAAGAATAGGAAGAGTAGCTGGACACGGACTCGGAATCAGAATCCGCTGGAGGTGCTGGCAGGGCAGGTTTTGGCATGTTTGCTAGGAAGGTACGCATCTCGTCGGTAAGATAACCCATCTTGATGGATGTGAAGTAGTTGATAGAGAAGCGAATGTTACGCGGCTCATCATGAGGGAAGATGCCTTGCAGACTGGGCTGGAGAGTCTCTTCACTCATGCGAGCCTTCAACTTCGCAGAGCCAATATTCTCCTGGAGATCTTCAAACAGGATCTTGATAAAGATACGGCTGGCGGAGGTCGTTTCTTCCTCGTTTAGGTGGATAACCGAGAAAACGTGCCAGCCAATGGCATCGGTAGCCAAAAGATGCCCAAAGAACCTAGCAATGTTGCGAAGCTTGTTGGTCTCGTATCGGTGAATCGTGGAGTAGTACTTGGCGAATGACTCCTCGAACAAGTCCATCCACATCCTGTTAAGACGGGCAAACCGCTCTCCTAGCAAGCCCATAAACTTCAAGTAGACCTTCTCCTGGGCGCATGACTCGACAATCATCGACACCAACTCGGCCTCCTGGCCGGCAGGGAGCCGCAGCTTCATAAGCTTGTGCGCCGCTTCTTCGGGATCGGCACTCGACTGGATGCTGAGATAGATAGTCCTCCTGAGGTTGACGAGGTCCGCATTACTCTGGTCCTTGATCTCCAACGCCTTCTGTTCCTCGTCCTCCGATTCCGATCCGCTCTCCGACTCGTCGCCATCATCGTCATCTTCGTCGTCGTCGCTAGCCTCACCCAAGATCTCCGCCTTCAACTTCTTGTATTCCTCCTCGTTCTCCTCCCAGTTGGGATCCATCTTGAACACATTGAGTCCATCTTGCGGGTCAATTTCGTCGTCAAGCCCAATCCGGTGTGTGATTTGATCCTCTTCTTCGACGAGATCCAATTCCTCCTTGATAACCGGGTTGTCCTTGTACTTGTCCTTGCGCACCTGGAAAAGCACCTCGATCATGTACTGCGTACGACGGTCGATATCGGCCTCGTGAAGAATGTTGCGGAACTGGTCGAAAACGGCATGGGCGATGGCCGGGGACATCTCCTCCAAAAACAAGCCGACTTCCCTCATGAGGCCGACAGCGATTTCGACGCTGTCATCCGTGGGCTTGGCGAGCAGCAGCAGCAGAATCTGGGCGGCAATCATCTCGTGGACAACCTGGTTGTTGACGAGATGGGCTATGAACATGGTCGACGAGAGGCAAACCGCCTTGTCGTTTCTCTTGAAGGCCTTGCGGAAACGCAGGATGAGCCTCTTGACAAGTAGTTCGCCCACCTGGGGCAGCTTGGTGTTGCAAATCGCAGCCAAGCAAGCATAAATGGGGGTGAAGGGCAAACTGGCATGTTGGGCCTTCAGCAGGCTCTGGCAAAACAGACCGCGGCCACGGATGAGGTTCTCGCCAAAGAGTTCGGGGACCACAAACTTGATGTTGGCAGTGTTGACCTTGTTGACCAGACCGTTGATAGACTTCTTCAGTGCCTCCCAAGCCATACGCTGGTATTCCCTGGTCTTCTTGTCGGTGATAGCAGCCTGGAGGGCACGTAGCCTGTGCGGGGGTAGGTACACACCCTGACTGCGTAGGTTCAAGAGCTTCTGGTACTCTGCTCTGGCGTCGGCAAGCTTTTCCTCCTCGGTCTTGACGGCCACAGGGGGTGGCGTCGGGGTGCGCTCCTTCCTTACCGGTCTATAGTCGCCACCGGCATCGCGATGGCGCGGAGGAGGGGGTTGTCCTCTCGGCGGAGGAGAACGGGAATGACGGCGTGGTGGCGGCGAGCGTGCCCGAGGGGAAGATGAGCGATCATCACGGCGTGCTGGTGAGCCCTCTCTCGGAGATGGCGAGCGGACAGAGCGTCGGGAAGGCGATTGGCTGCGAGGTGTAGGCGAACGGGATCGTGGGTGTGAGGGCGGCTGATCTCTTGGTGAGAGAGAGCGATCCCGGCGAGGAGATGGCGAAGGTGTGCGTTCGCCTGGTGATCGATACGGCAACGGGTCGCGGGGAGGAGGTGAGGGTGTACGTTCACCAGGGGACCGAGAGCCGTCTTCGTCCCGGGGCGAAGGTGACTGGGTCCTCGGGGAAGGGGATCGGGTCGCGTCGTGAGGATGGCTACGCGACGGAGACATGTCTGCCGAAGCCATCGTGAAGAATTATCCTTGTCTCTGTTTTCTTTGGTCCAAAACAAGTATTCGGTGTGCTGAGAACTGACTGTGTCGTCTCGAGGTCTCGTCAAGGAAGTGATTCAAGATGTAAAAGAAAAGAGGAAATCACCAACTGCTGGCCACTAGAATACTGGTGCCTCGCGCAAGTTGCTTACGACAAGGCAAGGCAAGGCAAGGCAACTGCCGGGACCGTGAGAGGTGACGGGAGTGGCCGCAACCAAAACTTCCTTGAAGGCTGGTGTGGAGTTTACAGAAGTAGCAAGTGGAGCTGTTCCCTTCCTTCTGAAAAGCAAAGCTATCGACACGGTCCACTAACGTCAGCGAGCCGCTTGTGCTCAACGCGCCACCCCTGAAACAGTGACGCTACGGTTCGCAAATGGCAGCTGGACTCCGCTTTCCGTAAGTGGCCAGGTCGCTGTTAGTGCTGGTGGTGTTCGGTGTTCTCAATCCCCGTGGGTCAAAGGTGCCAGTCACCTGCAGCAACGGCAACATCAGCATCAACTCACCACCACGCGGGAGCGATACCTCTACTTTACTTTTTTTTTCTTCTTCTCTCGTTCAAACAACGAAACCACCTTCACCAACTACCACGTCACTCATTTAACCAACCCTTTCGATCAAATCGACAATGGTGTGTTTCCAATCGCTAGCTGCCCGAACCCCGAAGCCGCCATCATGACAAGACGGAAACCGAAGGATTGAACACTCGGCTAACCCCTAATCCCTAAACCACCACAGCTCGACAAACTCGTAGGCCTCGCCATGCTCGTGGCCGCCACCTTCGTCTTCCTCTATTATACCATCTGGACTCTGTTGATGGTGCGTTCAAACACCCCCCGAAAGCCCACCAAAACCCCAGGATGCCCCAGGATCCAGCCATCTTCCTATTCCTTCTTGAAAGAAAAAAAAAACTAACAAACCACCAATCTCCAGCCCTTCGTCGACTCCGACCACCCCTTGCAAAACGTTTTCCCCCCTCGCGAATGGGCCATTCGCATCCCCGTGATCCTCATTCTGCTTGGCGCATCCGTTGTCGGCTCCTTTTTGAGCATGGTGATGATCAAGAGCAACAGGAAGAAGGCAGCCAAGGCTAAGGCCGCGGCGGCCAAAAAGAAGGCGTAAAACCTAGGCTCTTCTTGCCCGGCCTCTATGACAGGCGCATCGCGGTTGGCATTGGGGCTGGAGACATCGAGGACGATCAGTTGGTTTAGGTGCAAAGATATGTATATACTAGCGAGACTAGGTGAATACAGAAATCTGAAAAGGGGAAGAATTGAACGGCACCGAGATCAGTCAGCGTGTGGGATCAGGGTACTATCTCCGGCGACTTGGGTGTTTATTGGATGTTCTCCGTATACATAAGTACCACGGGAATTTGATAAGTCCGTAAACTCTCCTTCCCGCGCATATTTAGATTAGGTTGCTAGGAGGAGCAGTCTCGAATCATCAAACTCTATTGCGCACTATCACATGCTCTCATCAGGGATCGAACATATTTGCAAAGTTGTTCGTCTATTATTTGCTTGTCTCGCTTTACTGGTTTCCGTATATGCTAATTACTCAAGTAGCAACCCAATATTTGCCCAGTGTCCCCTATCAAAGTTGCATGCTCACAGCACAACCATCTCCAACAAAGCTAGTACCCAAACTCCATCCTAGCTCCAGCAAGAGGTGGACTCAAAAGCAGAGCCACTAATGGCAAATGCGAATAAGCCATGGTTGATCATTATAATCCAAAGTTTTTGCTTTGATTTGTTTGTGATTGTAGATCTCACCACCGTCAAAACAGCCAAGCAGATCCTTAAACGAAGTCAAACAAGCAAGCACACACTGCGCCGGTGGGGAAAAAAAAGGACGGCTGTTCCTGGCTTTGCTCAAACTCGCTGGTCGGCAAAATCGAGCACCTCACAATCATCCTCAAAGAACCCATCATGATCCTGGGCGGTCAAGCGGGAAACTCCACGCTTCCGACGAGTTGTGACAACAACCTGGTCAGTGTCCCCGTTCCGTTCAAGGACTCGTTCCATCGCAGAAGGAGGAAGAGCCCTCAGGTCGTCGTTGAACAGGAAATCGTCATCTCCCAGCTGATGCAGCCCCAAATCCAGCTTTCTTCCTTGGATATTGCCGCCAAAAGCCCATGCCTGAGAGGCTCCTGGCTTTAAATTGTCGTATTCGCGCAGTGAGAATCGCGGGTCCTTCTGCTTTCTCTGACTGGGTTCAATCACCGAGTCGTCAAGGGACGCCGCACCCATGCGCTCTGAAAGCTGTGCTGCGTCCGACCCGTCTTCAACCTCGTATAGGGCAACACGCCGGTCAGTGTGAAAAGGTTGATACGGCGCGCTAGACTCTATCTCCGCCTGTGGAATTGATGACCGGATGGCAAGGTTGGTCATCTTTGTTTTAGCTCGATATCGATCGAGGACCAACGTCTCATTGCCCGTATCGAGGCCCCTCTCCGTGAACTCGTAGTACTCTTCCTGGTCGACGAAAGCCTTCGCGCGGGCTGCCAACGAGAGGTCCGGCATCAAAGGAACCTTCACATCCTTATATCTTGAAAGTCGTGGAGCTCGTCGCTCGCCTCCGGATGTTCTTCGGTTCGTAACCACAAACGAGCGAACGAGACCATTGCCCAGAACATAAAGCAAGTGGCCCCTCTTACCCGTCACCCACGTCACGCATGACGTCCCTGGAGCGGAGTTGCTGTTCGGTAGAGATACTCGGTTTTCGCCTGTGTGCCTCAGCTGGCTAATGGCATGTCCAGTTTTGCCGAGAGAATGACTGATGCTCGCAGCGATAACCTTTCCACCGTGTGTTGCATAATCGCCAATTCCAGACCCTACAAGCTGTCCGTTGCTACTAGTTCTGCGTGGTCGGCTGATGAGTGGCCGGGCGACTTCACGGACCGAGCTCAGGGCGTTGGAAGCAATCGCAACCGCAGAAGTTCCCTCCGAGGCCGAGTTTGTTGCCTCACTCGGCCTGATCCGGCGACGTGGAGGAGGCCACGAGAAGGCGCTTACCGGTAGATCCAGGATATGAACGGTTCCACGCTCCGTGACCATGGCTATGCGCTCACCATTCGGCTTAGTCCAGGCCACATCAACAATGCGGGTCACTGTCATACGGGAGAACTGGGCGACCTGGCGCACTCTCGGGCCTCCCGTGACAGACAAGCCGGCACCCTGCAAGGGCGACGATTTGGTGTACTGTAAACGCATCAAATCCCAAACGGTCTGGACATCTCCCTTGCAGCTGGCAGTGAAGAGAGATAGGCCAGACGGAGAGAAAGACAAGAAACTGCAACCTTGGGGAATGTGGAAGCTGGTAACCGGATGGATAGTGGCCGATGAGGACAAGGTCTCTGAATCCACAATCGAAATCATGTTCGGATCCTTCGCAATTGGCGGAGTGATGGCACCATGTGTCGGAGGAAACTGGGAAGGGTCTGGCTGGGCAGAACCTCCCCAGCTTTGAGGAGCGAGAACAGGAGACCGGCTGGTCGGGTTTGCTTGCGGATTCCAGTAGCTGTTCCAAGCCTGCCAACCTTGTTTGCCAACCCATTTGGCACCTTGGATAAGCTCCTGGGTCGCATCTCGCACAATCTTGTTCACAACACTGTCACCCAACGGAAGATCGATTTCAGAAGAAACGGGTGGCAGCTGACCAGGCGTCAACGAAGACAAATTCGGGGCCCGACCGTAAATTGGAACCGGGACGGTCGCTCGAAGACTTATCTGCGAAGACGGCGTAGCCGGGCAGTAAGCGATCCATTTGCCTCTGACGCTCAGAATTGCAATCTGAGGCCGTGGGCGAGGCGGCACTGGAGTGTAATTCCGGTCCATGTCCTGCGATCCATCGCTGCCTCTCGGAGTCTGCTGGAGTGTTGTCCAAAGTTTTCCATGACAAACGAAACGCGGGGCCAATTCATCCGCTACCACCTGCTGATACACCCAGCATTCGCCGGTGATTCCAGATGATACGACAACACTTCCGCCATCTGCGTGAATGTGGAAAGCACCCGACGGAAGAGGCGCTTGGAAGATCGGGCTGAGGACTGAAGTCTTCAATGGGATCTTCGGTGCCTCAAGTAGAATGTCAACTAGCTTGTTGGTCTTGAGCGAGTAGACCTCGACGGTCGTCTGGTAACACTCTATGAAACCAGGTACCGCCCTATCACCGGGCGTATCCTTAGGAGCGTCAAGTGGGACGTTAGCCATGGCCTCGGACCTTTCCTCAGACACGGCATCATAGTCGCCTTCGGTTTTCGGAGCCGAGGTAGAAGCCGACTGGATAGGGGGAATATCTGGACCATGGACAACAACTGCGATCAGCGGGAATACGTCCGCTTGCGCAGCCGTCCAAGGAAGAACCTTGGCGTGATATACGCCTCCACGCAATCCCTTCAAACTCGCCAAGGGTTCCAAGCGACCTCCCTTTGTAAGCTTGTGAACTTCCAAACCGCCCTCGTATCCAGCCAAGACGACCTTGTCATTCCTCATAACATTATCCAAAGATGGAGAGGTAATGATATCATACCCAAAATAGTAGCCTCGTTCGCCCGCCTTGATGCCATCGTGGCGATGGGTGTCTAGGTTAAAGTCGGGTGCACCGTAAAAGTGAGGTTGCGGTTGGTGAGGCAGCGGTGGATTTCCAGCACGCGCAAAGTGCGAATGCATCGAGCTTCTCCTAGATGCTGGCTCGCCTAAATGTCCGTGAAGCTCCGCAGGGGATCTAGCCATGTGGAAACTCATCGGCCGGCGGCCCGCAGTTGGAGGTGATACGGAAGCTGCATAGAGATTGCTGGGAGGCCTGGGAGAAGACCAGCCAGAGGACATCCCGCGTGTGTCGTCGAATGATGAAGGAGTATACGACGAGGGAGCAGTAGGAGGCGACTCGCCCGCCAAACTAATAAGATTCCCGGGCGAGCCTGCCATAGTTGGCAGGTTCTTTATCCATTCCCTAGCGTTCGGCGAGGGGCTTGTTGCAAACGAAGCCGTGGAGACAGCGTCGAGATAAGGGGAAGTGATTCGATCACGGGGCGAGGGTGCAAAAGGCATGCTATCGGGAACCGACACTGCCGGTATCGGGGTAGCGGTCGGCGACGGGCTGGACGAGGCGTCTTTAGCGTCAGTCGTGTTTCTAATAGGGTAACTGATGATTAGATTGAACAGTTTAAGTGGTGACGGGCACTCGAGCACAGAGGATCATCCGTTGAACAGGAGGGGAACCCACGAGAACTTGGCGCCCTGTTTCGTCACCGCTGCGACCACTCCGCCACTGTCCTTGCCATTCTTCCGGTCTTTCTTAGAGGCTATCAAGGCCTTACGTTAGAACAGAAAGTCACGGAGATTGTTTTAAGGAGCACAACAAACCTGGCATGAATGGCAACTCGGGAGAGGGTCGAGCAGGTTCCTGCCCGGGGGGATGAAGCAACAAGCGTCGAAAGGTCTCCAGGCACGTAGAGACACAACTAGCCGGCGTTCAGAGAGTGAATACGGCAGGTATGTATATGGTGAAGAGCCTTGGTAAACGAGACGGTTCTACGTGGGTTGCACGGCGTATGCTCGGAGAAACGTAGGACAAGATAGCTATTGGCGAATTCGAGCGGTAATATCGAGAGCGTCGAGGCAGTTGAGCACTGGGCTGTGTCCGGGAGTTGTGCTGTGTTGTTACCAGGGGACAAAGGAGTGTAATCGCAGAGCGAACTCTGCGACAGACGGGCAGATGGAAGGAGGATGATATCAAATTAGAAAAGAGAGAGTAGAGTCGCACTTGAAGTGACGCTGTATTACAGATGGTGGTTAGATTAGTAGCAGCGTGTGTAAAGTTCGAAATGTGTCGTGATCAAAGCAAAGAGAAGTCGCCGGCGTATGCTAGTAGTCGTTGAACGTTCGTGATGGTAACTGGTCGGAAAGTCGGTGCTGTTGTTCCTGGTATGAAGTAGAAGCTGGGTACCTTGCGTGTTTCTGTCTGTGGGTGTGTGTGTGGTTTGTAGTTGGGTAAAGAAGAGGTCGGATGGAACTTCAAGTGTGAACCAATGTAGGAAGAGTCAGGGAGGTGGTGACTGCCGACGTCAACAGCCCCCTCCCCAATTGAGCGGCAGTATACGGGTCAACGGCCAGGATGGATCAACCAGCAACTGCCTACTGGACAGTGCCTGGCGCGAGGTCCTGCCTGGTACCTCCCCGTCTATTGAGAGGTAGTGGGAGGTACCTGGCTCCTGCTGGTTACCTAGGTAAGTTACACCAGACCGGGCTGCGTGGGCGGTGACCCCGTCAGGGTGACAGGTTGAGGACCTTCCTGACTGCCCGTCCAGTCACCCGGGAACCTGAGCACTGTGATGCCTGTTACTGGCTGCGATGAACAACTGCAGTGGGATGCGGGACAAGAAGGGAATGGAAGAGTGGAACCCACACACGGGTCCAGTTAAGGCGCCTTGGCTACCTATGTTGACCTGGAGGTACCTACCCTACGGTCTAGAGCAGTGTACACTATCAGCCTGCTGTTGTTTCAAAAGGCCGACGTCGTTTGAAGTCCGGGCAGCGAAGGCGGGTTCGGGAATCGGGATTCTGATTGATGAGAGACAACGACAAGCGGGCAAGGCGGGGAGATCTTCAGCGACGGGAGGTTGTAGGTTGTCGTGAGTGGAGGTGGTACAAGCGTGCGGGGCGTGATGCAGGTGCAAAGGGACGAGGTACCCACCGGTGCTAGTGAGCGGGATAGCGTGACGGTTCAAGTGTCCCGAGATAAGAAACCACCCAGAGCCCCTATCTTCACAAGAACAACAAGGCACAAGTACCCCCATGTACCTGGCAGGGAAGCGTTACAATGAAACCGCTGAATGGACGCCGATGGCGGGGCGATCTGTTATCCAGTCCCCCTCCCTGGTGCTCCCACCGCTAGGTATTCATCACCTAATCACTCACACACCGACCTTCGGCGCTTCTCTTCACTTCTCTGCTCTCATTCTTACACTACACTACATTGTGGTGGGAGACCAGCTGACTCCTTCTTTGTGGCAAAGGGTAAAAGAAATCTTTGCTGTGCTTCTTCCATGGCCTCCAATGGCGAAAGTGGCTGCTGCTGCTGCTGCTGCCTATGATAAGCATGGCCCAAGTCGGTTGGATGATGGTTCGCAAGGACCAGTTCACCGTGGTAGGGTCGTTCATTTCATCTCGTACACAAGCACCCAAAAAAGTACGTCATCGGTTCCGATGGCCAGATGGGTGGATGGATCATGGATCCTTGTTTCATGACTGCGACGAACCCCTGGGTATCTACCTAATGCCAGTGCTATGAAAGGTAGGTTTCTAAAAGCAACCTCTTGATGCTTAACACACTAGCAAAATGAAATATCGAAAAGATAGCCGCCCAGGAAGGGCTGGTGACGGTCGGGGGCTCACATGGCACATGGTCGACATGGCCTTTGTTTTAGTCATTCCGGGATCTACAAAGCGTAGTATTCACCATTGTCGGCTACATGATGGGTTAGATGGTTCTTTCAGCATGCACATGGCGCGCTCCCCTCCTCGGGGCCTTTGTCTCGTTATCCTCATGTCTTTTGATTCCCTCAAGCTTGATACCTAGGTAGTCAATGATAGCTGAGGAGATCCGTCTTACCTCACGTCATCGTACCTATACTGTAGGTATGCCAGATGGTGGTGGTGGTGGTGCTTCAACAAGCTCACAGGGCAGGCCGCATTGCCACGCACATTGCTCATCTGGCAGCCAGGCGCCAGCTATGTACGCATGTACAGAGCATTCTGTCCACACACGCAAGAGGCCTTTTCAATGTCCATCAAGATCCAGTTATCAAAGTCACCCGGAAGCAACCGACACGCCGATTTCGCAGGCTATCGTAAACCCAAAAGGAGTCATCTCAGGCCAGGTCGTGACACGCCGCTCGCCTGATCCGCGGCTGGCTGAGGTACGTATAAGACGCTGTGCTCCCTTCGATGTCCCCCGCACTCGTTGAGGCCATCGTCGTTCCTCCGTTTGTTTTGTCTCTCGCCGGTACCCTAGCGAATATACCCCGCGCCGAGAATTTTGACCTACTGGTAGCTGATCTCTGATGCCTGGCTTACTTTCCTATCGCAGAATTGTCCTATGGCAGACAAGCAAAAGCGAGACCAAACACAGCCCCAGGAAGAAGAACAAGGCAAGGGGGTTTCAGTCAGCTGCTGGCTGCATGTGCATTGTCTCTTATCCCGTCGTCTGGGCGGGTGACAGTCCGGCATATCATGTGGGTTGCTGGAGTTACGTATCGAAAAGGGAGGTGGGGTTTGTTTAGTCGACTTCGGGGATTTGCGGCAACGCCTGGCTCATGTGGCTTTGGAACTGTTTGGAATCGTGTAGTTAAAAGCGAACATAGCTGTGAATGCTTGATGATTGCGAACCCGGTATATCAAGCGTTTATGATTGTGAAGTTGTGGAGAGCAGAATGAGCACGTATTTTCTTGTATAGAAACAGCGTGCCATCTGTCTGCGTATGTGCTGTTAGCAATGTCTTTCTGTTCTAACGGATATGAACGTATAGAGTGCCGACTGATGTTAGTACACTGGACCCACCTCAACCCATACCGAAAACTCCCCCTTCTCAACACCCTTCGCTCCTACGCCCATCAGGTCTGAGACAACATGACGCAAATACCGGATTCAACACATTCTTGCAAGCCCAGTATCTAGATCACGATTCCGAAATGTTGATAGTGCGAAACTGATACTAATTGTCTACAACGAATATCAACCCAAACCACGATCGCAATCCAAATCCCATTACCAGACCATACTCTTCCATCAAATCCCCAAGTACTATCCTGTCATCTTACACTACAAAGGGAATCTCCACGTGTCTATCCTTCCACTACTCAACGCCAGAAGACAGATACACTCTATACCTCCCAAACACAAATGGCGAAGTATTTCCCCTTGCGGATGCTTTGCCATCAGAACTACCATGACCACCACCTTCCTTCTCCATCTCCTCCTCTCCGTCCTCCAATTCCCTCCTAACCAATATCCCATGCGCCGCCCAATCCATCTTCTCCTCTTTGCCTGTCTCCCTCAACGTATAAAGCACAGTCCCATATATCATAAACTCCAAGTTCAGGACACCATCACCTTCAACTCCCCCTCCTGCTCCTCCTCCTCCTCCTCCTCCTCCTCCCAACTGTCCAGTAAGAGGGAACATACCCGGAAAACCCTTCTGAACTGTATGCTTCCTCGTCTTGACTTTTTCCCACATTCCCTTTCTTAGGACACGAAGCTCTATATTTATTCATTCAACGAATTAGTCAATTGAACTCCGCCTCTTGGTCACATCTTCAGCAAGGAAACACATGGCGGTAGGGATATAGAGGCAGGTAGAGATGTATGGGGTTGCGTACCATCCTTCCCCTCAGCAACCTTCTCGCCCATCACGACCTTGGCTTCCTCCCCGAAAAAGCTGAGCCATTCCTCGGTCAGATCCGGGTTGTCAGATACTTGGAAGAAGCGCGTGATGAACTGGAAGATTGAGGCTGCCGGCATAGGGGATATGCCCAGGTCCTTAGGCCAGGTAGGTTCGTAGCCAGAGGGGTTTTGTTGGTCTTGATCTTCGTGGGTTTGGGTTTGAGAATCCATTATGTGGTGGGTGAGCATGTAGCTGAGTAGGGAACGAAGTAGGTTCCTCTGTCGTGTAGGTACGTAGGCCAGTTGGTGAAGCAATGATCGTTTCTGGTGATTAAAAGCAGGTTGCGCGGTCTGACTTTAGGCTCCTTGCTATGCCGAGTATGACACGTGGATTGCCAGACGGGACTGTTGCCTTTCCGCTTCCTCCGTTCGTCCCTCGATGGCGATGATCCTCGCCATTGTCGTCATGGCTTGGCAGGCACACCTTGAAGATCAACACCAAGTCATGGTTCTTTTGAAGACCGTCTCGTGTGCATCGCATAGGAACACCTGGTATACTATTGTTGCATAAAACAATATACATGTTCTTCGCAGCTTTCTCGCCCGTCAACTTCCGCTATGGGATACATTCTCGCTCCATAACAAGGGCCATTTCCAAGCAGTATAAGTGCCCTCTTTTGGGTGAGCCTTTGAGCTTAAGTACTAACAGTCCGATCTGTCATAGTTATGTTATTGAAGTCTGTAGCCCAATGTCCTACTTTGAAAGGTTAATTAATCGCCATGTATGGTCAAAAGGAATCAACCATCCACCTGGCAGGCTGAGGTTATAAATGCAAGAACGCGCTACCAAATGACTTCTCTCACACCAGCGCCTTCCCAACCGAAAACCAACGCCCAAGTGCATTGCCATCACGCAACCAGCTTGGCCCCACGCTGTACTGAACGAGACAGGAAACAAAACATCCCACCGACCCTAGAGGTATCTCAAGGTCTCTCTTAGCTCTAGCCCCCTGGGCTCTCTACGTAGGCACTAACGCCTCAGTTCTCTAGGCCTTGATGCCTCTAGCACTGACTTCGCCCTTCTCGCCAATGTTGAGCGCCTTGCGACAGTCGGGACAATACCACTTCGTCGTCCTCGCCGGAATCGCGGTGAGTCCTACGCATTCGAGATGGAACCATTCCTGCTGGCATTTCTGTGGATTGACAACATCGTTAGCCTTGTGTCCCTTTTAGTTGTTCTGATTCCCTCCCCCACTCTCTCCACCCTCTTTGTCTGCGGAATTGTTCGAGCACTGGCTCCGGGCGATTCTCACCCTCTTCTTTCCCGTCTGAGAGGGATAGCTCTCTGCGTTTTCTTCTGCATTTTCCTTGTTGGGCGCTTGCTCTTCGTCCTGTTCTTCTTCATGCACATCCTCCTTTGTTTCCTGTTTTCGCCTGAGACCTTTTTCGTCGGTCTTTGACCTTGTGGAAATGGACATAGTAGACGTAGAAGTTGCCGAACCTCGACTTGCTGCGGCCTTGCCGGATTTTTTTGATGCTGACTTCTTCTTCTTGGTGGGTTGTTTACTCACATCGACGTTATCACATTGAATCATTATCCCAAAGCTCACACGGTTGCATAGGCAGTACCTCGGCTCGTCGGGATCGATCACGTTTCCCTCGTCATCCACCTCAACCTCCATCTCGTTTTTGGCTCCGGCGGCGGCTGTCATTGCTGCTACTGCCGCCGCTGTTTGTCGACCTTCCACAGCTGCCTTGTCCTTACCCTTCCCGGTGCGGGCGCTCTTCTTCGGCGCGGCTTTTCGTTTCCCAACAGCACTATTGCCGCCGCTCACAGTCCGACTAATAACACCTGGCGCTGGTCTTTTGGTTCGCTTTCCGGTCGTCCGTGTGGTTGTGGTCGTCTCTGCCGGAGCCTTGTCTGGTGCAGGGGTGTTCCGGGCAGTACTTGTGCGACGAGGGCGATCTGATGCAAGAGAAGCCTGGGGTTCTAAACTAGAAGCCTTGCGACGAATAGATGTGGTTGATGCCACACTGGGAGGCGCAGTCACCGTTGTGGATACTGCTAGTTCCTCTTGATCTGGTGTGTGACTGGGTACATCTGCAGCTGGAGTTGTTACACGAGACGCACTTTGTATTTCCTTTTGCTGTTGCTGCACCAGTAGTTGTTGTTTCTGTTGTGGTTGGTTTTGCTGCGGCAGCGGTTGCGGCGGCGGCGGCGGCTGCTGCTGTTGTTGTGGTGGTTGCGGTTGCGGTTGTGTTGTCGGTTGTTGTTGCTGCTGCTCTTGGGTGCGAGTCATTTGCGTCTTCCTCGTCTCTCTAACAGGAGGAAGAATCGGAGTTGTAGACTTTCTGGGCGACCGTAACGGCGGCGGGATCGGGGTCTCAGCGGGTGGTAGCTTTATGGGCGGAACTGGAGGAGCCGCACTGGAACTACCGGCGATGCTGCTTGGGGCGGGAGATGTCGCCGAAGCGACCGAGGCACTAGATTTGGCAGCGCTGGAGTGATCTTGGGCGTGAATGGGGAGAGGGATGGGGGTTGTAGAATGCAAGACAGGTGTAGGCACTGCCGTCCTCTGGTGTGGTTGAAGATTTAGCTGCGGAGTAGGGACAGGAGTCTCGTTCTTCATCCGCTTGATCTGTGACTCCGGTTTCGTCGCATCGGCCTCGATGACAGACTCCCTCTTGCGCTTCTTTGGTTGCTTGGGTCGGCTGTTGTTGACTATCGTAGGTGTTGGGGTTGGTTGGGCAATGGCAGGTTGCGAGTTGTTCATCAATATCCGGGCAACATTGTCCAGGAGCTTCGCCGACTCTTCGGCCTCAATCGCAGCCTGGTGTGCCAACTGGACTCTCTTGAGTTTCTTGGCCTCGTTCAACTTCATGCCGCGATTATAGGTATTCGCCTCGTCTGCAGCCAAAGCCTCTTCCGAGACCGCGCCCACGGGCATCTGCATCTCTCCAGTGGTAGGGTTCTTGACCGGAACAGGCATCTTTCCCTCAAAGACCCTACCCTCTTGTTCCGCTTTTTGCTGTGCAGCTTTAAAGGCTTCATAGCCGCGGCCCAACGCTTGGAGTTCTCGAGCGATCATGGTAACGGAGGGGGTCCATGCTGCATTCTTCTTCATCTTCTTTCTCAGCTTGGCGAGTTCGAATGGTGTAAGCTGGCCCCAAGGAGCGTCCGGGCCGCCGATGACAGGGTTCACTGGAGGCGGACCCAGCTGTGCCAGCGCAGCGCTCGTAGATAGCGGTTGCTCGCCCCCCGGAACATGCGGCGGAGGTACGGATGTTCTTGGCTTGGGTGCCTTTCCAGCTTTAGGGGGACGGGCAGGAGCCTTCACAACCTTGATACGTGGCTGGGGTGCTGGGGTTACACGGCTGGTGGACAGAGATGCCACATCCTCGTCCTCGGAGCTGCTCTCGCTGTCGCTGGTAAACGGCTCATAGTTGAGCTCGTATGGCGCCAAAACTTCTCCAGGGACTGTGATTCTTGGGATCGCATGTCGTCGAGGTTTCTGACCATCCAGTCTCAGGGGTGCCTTCGACCCTGCCGCTGCCTGGGGCGACTTGAACGTTGCAACAGGACTCTTGATCTCTTCTGGGGGCGGGTAGTTCTCAAACATGGTCTCCAGCTTGGCGAGAATGGTTTTGATGCGACTGTGGTGCCGTTTAACCTCTCCATCCATTCGTACAGCTTCCGCGTGGGCGGAAACACGGGCATTCATGCCTTGCTGAAGCTGTTCGGAGATGTCGGCGCGCACATCGACGGCACTGGTCCGCTTGGGGGGTGGGATGTTGGGTAGTTGAGACCATTTGGTGGCGAGTTCGTGGACTTTGGTGGACGCGTTGACGTGGGTCTCGTCGAGCTTGCCGATGAGGGTGAGGGAGCGCATTATGTCTGCTGGAAGGTATTCGGTAAAATCGAGGAAATCGGTTACGGTAGCTTGGGCATCGGGGTCGGCCGGCATGTCGAGAGAGTTGAGAGGGTTGAGGGCACCGAGGGTCTGGATCGCCTGCTGGATGGGCGGCGCGTCCTGACGCGGGGAAATGGGTTCGTTCATCGCGTTGGACTGCTCGATTGCTTCGGCAGCAGACATCTTGAGCGGGGACTGTTCAAGCTCGTAGGGCGATAAGGCAAGGGGCTATAGATCGGTGGGCAGGTTCATGTTAGGCGTCGCGCGCGGTAGAAGACGGTCGCCTCGGTTTGGTTTCAGTTGTTGTCCGAGTCGCCGAGCAGAAAGAGGAAAAGTTGGTACTTGTGGCGTTATCGAGGCTTGAGTGAGGGCAAAAGTCCCACACGATGCGGGCGGGTGGCCGATGATGTCGTCGTTTCGTGCAGTGGAACGCGTGAGGTCAAAGGACGGCAAGTGGAAAGGGAACCGAGCTTGTGAAACGGGCCTGTGGAGCCTGCCAGTGATCGGCCTTTGTGGAGAACCTCAAGGGACCGTGGGCTGGAAGGAACTTGGCGCCCCACATTTCCTGCAGTCAACTGCAGGTCTGCAGCGCTCAGGAACCAACACCTTAACAGGTTTAGCGTGCTTCGCAAAGCAATTCATTCGCCATTCTTCAGGGTCCATGAGTTCTTGTTTCTCTTCCCAGATTTGGTACGTCGGTAGGCTCCTGATAATGGCAAACTACCTACTGTAGCTCTACTGCATTAGCAACTAAATCTGAGGTGGTAGCTGGAAACTCGGATGTTTGGTTTTTCCACCTCCAGTTTTGGCTCCCTTGATAGTTGACAGATGGTTCAAAGTTGGTTGGTTCCACAGGTGACCAAGCAAGCCAAGGAAAGACTGCTGTTCCCCCAACCCATTATTGACAGTTAGTGTAGATCCCCCCACTGGGTTATTGTCATGATTGCCTCAGTTGTTCGTGGTGTTCGGTCTTCGAAGCACGGTCCGTGTAATTGACTTTTTGTGAATTTTCCTCCTCTAAAAGGATCCCGGTCTTTATTATCTGCCTACCTAGCTGACCACCCCACCCTCAGAACTTCGACTGTACGTCTCGCTGATGATATGAACATGTAAATGGAAAAATAATAAGAACCGGAAAGGGAAAGAAACGAGACGGAAAGCAAAAGATAGCATATCTAAACCAAGCCCTGACCGCGCCGTGGCCACCACAACTTCTTCCCAAATAAACAAATTCTGCGCCCCAATCACATCACGGTGCCTCTTTCCATCTTCGAAGTCGACATGACAGAAGGAAAGATAACAAAAAAACAAAATTAAAATCGAAGGACGCTGAAATAACAACTCGCACAACAGACATCAAGCCCATAGACTAGAAAATGAAAACACCAACAATATCACACGGTGTACCAGGTCTAAGAGAGAAAGTCTTCCAATGTCTAGAAAAGAATAAAAAAGTTGGGAAAAAGCGACCAAGGAAAAATTAAGCCAAGTTATACATCCAGTGAGCTTTCTATCCCTCATAGTTAGTCCTCTGGATCAGCTTAGCGCCATGGACGATCTCGCCCTGTTCGGTTTGATACCAAGATTGGTCACCGACGGTGGTTATGGATGCGTATGCTGTTAGGCTTTTGCATTTCCTTTAACGTTGACTTTCGTCAGCATATATGCCCTGGGCTGGATTTTTTGTTCAACAGTGGCTGAATAAACGACACAGGTAACTTACAGATACCCATTGATGGTGATGGCTCCCCAGACTTCCACGTCCCCTTGGACCTCAAAGGTACCGGTGACTTTGAGTTTTCCAAAGATTTTGACTCTGTCGCTGTTTGTGAAGGATGGTGGTCAGAACTGTTGGGTTCTGTTACAGAGAGAGAAAAGAAAGGAAAATGGAGAGAAGATGGGGGGGGGGGGAGAGGTGAAGTAACTTACACACACAGCGCACTCCCATCAATCTTGACGTTCCCATACGCCTTAATCCTACTACTGTGTTTCGACGTGATTAGCATCGCCCACTTTCCAATCTCACATCCAGAAAGCGAAAGCCAGAGAAGAGAAGGAGAGCACAAACGTACCTGCACCTCAAATCCCCAACAATACTAATATCCCCATACGCCTCAATGCGATCTCTCACTGCAAAGTTCCCCGAGAACGCAACGCCTCCGCCGGATTTGACCGATCCGTCGACCTCCATTGGCCCTCTCAACTCGAGGGAGCTGTCTGACTCGATGCTATTCCTTCTCTTGACTGTGGCGTGTTGTTGTCTGGTACTGTTTGTGTTGGAAGACCCCGTGCTGGCGTTGGCGCTGTAGACTCCTCCCTGCCCCTGGGAATCAAAGGTCATGCTATGCTCGTATTGGTACATTGTTGTCGTGGACGGAAGCTCGGCTTCAAACGGTGCTAACGGTGCTGTTGGTGCTGTTGGTGCTGTTATCAATGGTGTTGCTACTATACCGGAAATTCAGGATAAAGTAGACGAGGAAGAAGCTCTGTCAGGATTATGAGGATGCTACTGTTGGCTTTGTCTCACGACCTGTTGCCAAAATCCTCTGTCGTTGTAGTTGACCCGCTGAGTGATGTTCCCGAGGATACAACTGCTATTGAATGTTGTTTGGTTCTGAATGCTATGAGGCTTATGATATCGAAGAGTGTCAACCTCCATTGCCAACGGGGGGATTAGATGGAGCTATATAGTAGATGTCGAAGCCCAAAATCTGTATCCTACCCAAACGACTGCATGTAGGGTGAGGGTCGGATGTCTCCAAGCTAAAGGACAGGAGCAGGAAAAAAATAGTGAAGCTCCAAACCAGACGAATATGTCATTAGTCCGCTTCGAAGATTTTCCAAGACCGTCTGTCGGAACTCTGACCTACTGTACACCATACTACAAACACCGACCGGCGAAGCTTCGCCCAGCCTGACCTGAAGATGTACCTCTAGAGGTATCCATATGAGGGCGGCATGAGCCTTGGGAGCCTTGAAAGTGCCGAGAGTTCTTCGTTACCCTTTCCCCATTGAGACTCGACGTTATGAAAATAGCTATGCCCCCCATATCCCATGGGCGCCACGGACGATGGAGCAAGTTGACGGCCGGTCGGTATGTTATCACAAGGGAACTAACACATAACGACATGATGGTTGCTGTTCTATGTCAAGCCACAGATCACCAGAAGCACACACAGGTAGGTACCTATCTAGAGGTAGTCTTACTACCGCTACTGCACGCAGCTTTTGTCAATATCAATAAACAGTATCATGAAATATCTCTGCTGCTACGCCTCGCCTGTGATGATACATTGGATCTGTCAGTACACAGTAAGCCACCACGTCCATGCCAAGTTTGCGCATCAACACCACCACTGCCGCCACTTGTCTACATTCACATTCATGTCTTCCTAGCCCGGAATGTGTACCGAACCCACATCCCGGTATCTCTTGGCGTCAATGGATTAAACACTAGGAGATTCAACGACATAGAGCGGAGTATCTAGATACCTACTATATTAGTACGAACTTTCTTGGTGCCCTATGACAACGACAGTAGCAACAGTAAGAAACAAAACGTCCTACACCTCTGCCTCTGGCCCAGTACCACCTAGTCAAGAATGATATCCAATAGATGACTTTGGCTCCCGTAGTTTGTTTTACGGAACATTCTGTTCACAGAATCCGTTATGTTTACCCCTTTTGGGGGGGGGGGACCTATCTTTCTTTTCCACTTGTGCATACAGGACAAGGCAGGGACAAGGGTTGGGCAAGACGAGACAAAGTAAGGCAAAGCAACGAAGACAGTCGGCGATGGTCCTAATTCTGAGCCACAAAGACGCAGTAGTCTGGTATAGTCCATGTCCAGCCCCTTGCCGACCGAAGTTGGAGTTGAGGTTAGTCCACCTAGCTACCCTGCGCTAGATCGCGCTTCTTCGCTTAAGAAAAGCTGCGTCTACATGGCGTTATGGTGTAGAACTGCAACTCTGTGCGTTAGCACCAAACAAGCCACCGACAGACGGAGCTCTCGAGGAGGCCGCCCATAGCACTACATTAGACTATGTACAGTAGCCAGCCGACTACCCGTTCGCGACGCTCGGTGGTGGTGGATCGCGTTAAAACTAAACGGTAGTCCGGTGTTCAAATTCGATTCGTTCGGCTCTGTTGTCGCTAGAAATGAGGCGTCGTTATGTCCAAAAAGGAGGGTTGTAACAGCTTACCATTCGCCAGCTTTGCCGATTGTCGCCAATAAGGTTCATGGCGCGGCGGCGCAGCAGGGCTAACCAACACTTCTCACGACAAAAGAAGGGGGAGGAGGGGGATGCGGGGGGTAGATCGGGAACAACGGCATATGTAACACCCTGTTTCCCCTGCCCTGACAAAGAGTGACAGTGACTTTGCCGAACGGAACACACCGACCGACCGACCGATCGTGAGACTTGTCCATTCAGTTCCGGATATTTCGCTTCATGCATGAAATGGCTTGCAGACAGAACCTTAGTTGTTGCCCGATGCCAAGATCTTCAGCCATGAAACAGCCTTGCCTCGCGCTGAAGCTGCCTTGGCCGGACGTCCGCCCGTGAGCTGTGTTCCACTTACTACCCCAGCTCTCCAGTTAAAGATGCCGAAAGCGGTGACCGCATGGCACAGAACAGTGTCAATGCCCATTTCTTTCGAACTGCAGTGATATTATGAGGATTTGTAAGAGGGAATGTGAGTTCGCGATGCATGCCCATCTTGGTCCTGGACCGCGACTCCAGCCTTGTTAGATGTTTCGTAAACATTGAGGAAGATCGAACATTCCAAGCATGGCGTTGACGTGGGCCACGTCCCAGCCTAAAACCCACGTGGCATATTTGGGCGTCAGATCAACATGATCACGCTCGGTGAGACAGTGAGCGTATTTCATAGTTTCATAATTCTTTATTTGATCTTTTTTTTGGGGGGGGGGGGGGGGGGGGGGGGGGGGGGGGGGAAAAACCTCTTATTGAAGGGGTAAAACCTTTTGGGCCCAAAAAAA